ACTGAAACAGCAACGTGTATTTTATTACCACAATTAATTAAAAACAGAATCTGAGTGAACCCCGCTATCACGCGGTTGTTCCTTTGCACACCTGCTATATATCACAGATTTTTAAGCGACCGTTTTTCATGGGTTATAGGGTAGGAAGGTCCGAATTTAGAGTTGGATGCTGTGTTTGCATGTGTTGCTGCTCCAGGTCAACGTAGCAAATGTCTGACGTTGTGTATTGGAATTACAGTAACATCCATGTTAATTATTAGCCTGGTTATGGTGTTTGCATCATGTGTTAGCATTAAGCTCGTGGACTTCGCTTAAAAAAAAAAAAAAATCTTTCTTTCGGGGGGAAGTGATGAAAAATCAACAGTTTGAAGCATGCATCCTATGCCTCTTTTATGAAAAAGAGTGTGTTCTTTTCGTTTTTTGAAAGTGATGTTCCTCGATAGTGTCCCATTTCCCGACAGTGAAAGAGAACAGGCACAAAAAAAAAGAAAAACTTGAAAAAGTGTGTCAAAATGGGAAAACGAACCATCTCTGCCCACCCAACCCAGAATGTTGGATCCAAAACAAAATGCTTTTTTTTTTAATCATCTGATTCAAACATGTTGATAGAATCAGTGGATTCCCAAACATAAACAATGCCAATCAGGACAAGCATGCTGCGTGAAGGAGTGGAAAAGCTGCCTCCAATCAGCAAGGCTGCCAAAAACAACCACTTGGACTACACGCACACACAGAAATATACACACTGGGAGCTTTTGCATTCACCAAATCAAGTCCTAAAAACAATACTTTGTTTTCCCAGGAGAGCCGCTGATTGCCGTCTGCGATCTTTGCTCTTGTTCAAACATACAATCGCTTAAGAAAAGATGTAAAAAGTGATAGTTTGGGGGTTGGGGGTGGCTGAAGACCCTCAGACATTTTGAACCATGCAGGAATTTCCTTTTCCTCTTCAGTTGCTGCAGCTTCACAAAATGGAGGAAAATCGACAAAAAGTGTATTTTTGATGCCACCGTATTGTCGAAATTGTCTGTTGTATACTAATTGAGACTGAACATGGTCCAAAAAGCATGGATTTGTTCATTAGTATATCAAAATCTAAATAGCATATATCAGTGAAGAATATCATACAAACTCCTCTCAATCAGTGGCATGATGTTTTTGAGTGGAGTTCCTCAGGGAAAGATTTGAGGTGCGTTCATTTTCTGTACAAATGAACCAAGTGATCAGTATTCTTCACTTTCTACTGGTGGAATGTGTCCAAATACATTTGGACACCCGCAGCATATATTGAAAATCATATTTGAAAGCCTTCTATTAGCTTCATTAGCCGTATGAAAACAGCCATTCGCACTGTAAATGTCACGAGAGAGACATGAGTGGGGATGACAGACTAATAAATGATAAACAAGTGTTTGCCTGACCTAGTGTGTTTGTGTGTGTGTGTGTGTGTGTGTGTGTGTGTGTGCGTGTGTGTGTGAAAACGTGTGTGTCTGCCTTCGACATGTCAGCCACTTGCTGACGAGAACGAGGAGCGACGCGAATGTTTAAAGCGCAAATATTTTCAAAGCCCGCCTTGCTCGTCAAGGATGTTGTCGGGGAGGAGAGGCACTGCATTATTCAGCGGCCGTCGCAGACAAAAACATTTTGTTCAACCCTTTTTGGACTCCATTGCATACTATTCATTTTTCAAGCACACAGAGTCAAGTCTGATAGAATATCCTTGCGGCAACTGTTTGTTTCAGATCCTAAAGCCATCTGACCTGTTTATAATACAGTCATAACATTTAAAATAGCATATCAAGAATTAAATATGACAAATCATGATTCCATGTAGTTATTGTGCCGGTCCTTCTGGTGTGCACGCCTTGGCGACTAGTGGGAAGTTGAATATTAATAAACTTGAAAGAGATGGTCAGCTCATAGCATGTCATTCTCTTTGTTTTAGGTTTAGGTTGTCAGGTAACAATAAACATAAAACATACACACATTCATGAGATGTACATTTTAACTTTGAAGATTCCCACTATTCCCACCATTTGGCTTGATTTAACACACACTGGTCAACCTAAAATGCACACAATCACCTTCAGATTTTGCCTGGCAAGACGAACGAGTGATGAAAGATGAGCGCAACGCCAGGTCGGTAGGTGGGAAACGAGACACACATTTGTAGGTCGTAAGAGTCAGATTTATTTTTTTTTAAGATTGTCCGGGTGTTCTAAACTCTTTTGGTGAATGTGTTAAACAACCCCTCCTCCTCCTCTTCCTCCGCCTCCTCTTTTGCTTTAGTCCTTCATTGTCTCACAGCAGTGACCTCTGACGGCATTAGTCATGTCGTGTTCATTAGACTCCATTTAGACATCGACGCAAATTCACAAGGAAGTGCAGATTTTAAAACACATTCACTGCATTAGGAAAAAAAGCCAAAATGGGATATAAATGAACTTATTTTTTAGCCGTTTTCGACCATATCTCCTCAAGATGCATCTTTCTTCATGCTAAAATTGTATTGTAATCGACAGACGAATCGATTATTAAAAGAATAATTAGGTGCAACCCTAAAAAAACAAATTCTAATATTTAGGGAATGAAGTTAATGTTTTTAAAGGTATTTTAAAAAAAGAAAAGTAATAACACAGGATACAAGAATGAAGTCTGTGCTTTTCAAGACAAAGTTATACATTTTATGTTTTTTTTAGCGAAAATGTCCCAATATGAGGAGAAATATCTCTATTGTGACCATCTTCAACATCACCTCCTCCTCTTCTCCGCATTGCTCACCAACTCACAGCAGCAACTTCAAACAGCATCAGTAACGCTGCGTTTATTGGCCCCCGCTTCGAGATAAACACGCTTTCAAAAGCAGCATCACAGCTGAGCGCAGGCTTGCAAATACACCAGGAAGTGTGGTTTTTCAAAGTGGATAAAACTGAATTAGAAACTATTAGCCTACAAACTGACAAATGAATTTTGAAAATGATTTTCGACAGCTCTTCTGAGTGCGATTGCATCAATACAAGAAAGGCGCCGAAATTGTTTTTTTTTCCTCCAGATGTAAAAACAAACAAAAAAAAAACCCTCATCATATTGACAAATGTCTTTTTTTAATTTGAAAAGCAGAATCTTCAGACGAAATAAGGCATCTGGTAAAAAAAAAAAAAAAATCATATTTGTATTAAGGTCACATTTTTTCGAAGATAAAATTATCAAGTAATTTCGAAGGATTTAATTTTAAAAAAGTCAAGACATTACAATAATAATTTGTTTAAAAAAACCTAATTAAGCAACATAAAAGTTACATATTTTCCAAAAAGTTGCAATGTTGCAAAAAACAATTCTGAATTTGTCTGTAAAAATATTGTTTCACAATAAAAGGTAAGATCCTTTTACATAAATCGTTTTATACTTTTTCACTAAGAGGTCATACATTTTCAAGATAAATGCCATATTTCGAGAGTAAAGTCAAATGATTAGAATAAATTAAGACCAAAAGAGGGAAAACTATTTTTCTTCTTAAAGTCACATTTTTCATCCAAAAAAACAAAACAAAACAAAAATTAGAAAAATTAGAAAATTATGAACAAAACAAAAATTATGAAGAAAATTTTGAAGGTACGTTACCTTCAAAATTTTCAACTGTAGTCTGAAACAGAAAACAACAGTCATTTTGATGATGCTGTGTCTATATGCATGTGAGACTTTTTTTTAAAATCCATTGTTTCATTCTCCTTTAAAACAAAAACAACATGCTACCACGCATCATCCGACTCACGCAAAGCCAACAGAAAAAGACTTCCCACCATTGGACCAAAGTGCATCTCATAGTGGATGAACCAAATATGCACACGCTTTCATTCACACCTCCCTTTAGGCCCCCCTTGGACATCCACACCACCCCTCCCCTCACCCTATAACATTAACCCTAACCCCATTTATCCCCCGTTCTCAACAACTCCATCATCCCTGAGGCAATATTTCACATTACTGTGTATGTCAGTTTTGGGAGTCGTGGCCACACACACACACACACACACACACACACACACACACACACACACACACACACACACACACACATTTGCATTATGAAGCACTCAGTCATGCGGGCTGACACATCCTAATAGTTGTTACTTTGTGCCACACTTAAGTCAGACAAGTACAGTAGACAAGTATGTATACACACAGACAGACACACACACACACACACACACACACACACCCACACATACACACACACACACACATGCGCACACGCGCGCTCACGCACACGCACACACACACACACACACACACACACACACACACACACACACACACACACACACACACACACACATCTAAAGGCAAATAATGTGGACAGCGAGCCTGCTATTTTTAAAGGGCACACTTCACAAGATATCATCTCCTCATCATTGGTCCTCAGGGATTTTTGGCTATTTATCCACACATACACATATTCATACACACACGAGCATGTAGACAAACGCATTCAAACAGATTTTGTTTTTTAAGATAAATATAAAAGTTATACGTAAAAAATTGTATTTCTCAAAGCTAGTAAAATATAATCTACTTTTTTTTTCAGGAAAAAATGTATTTTTTTCGCAAGATGAACCTCTTTTCATGAAAAAAAACCCTGAATGTTAAGATATTAAAGTTATTAAAAAATGAGTCATAAGTGATGTGATTTTTTTTCATTTAAAATAAATGTTTTAGGAGAATAAAGTCACATATTTTGGGGTTAAAAAAATAGACCTACAATTTTATATTTTCAAAAAAAAATAATTTATTGTAATGAAATTGTACTTTGTCAGGATAAAAAAGCTGTTTTACAACATCAAAGTGAAAATTTTCAAAGATAAGTAGGCCTTCACTTTGAGAAAAAAGGTCTTGATACTAGGAGAAAAAAACGTATTTTTTCCACACATGCACACATAAGCCGTGACCACTGCATCAACATTGCTATTCTCCCAAAATGATAGACATGTTGTAACACTTACTAAAACGTGTTAGCCGTGTGGACGCTCAAGGGCAACTTTTAGGTTGCCCTCCCCCTCTTTTTCTTCTGTTCCGGTATTCCTTGTTTCGACTCTGCCGGCCCACCAGCCAGCCAGCCAACACGTGGTGATGCAAGCGACGGCCAAGCAACGGCAAGAATCAGCTAAAAATCATCCCAGCCTGCAGTTGTGAGTTTAATCCTCCTTAACATAGCACACTGGGAGCGACATGAATATTCAACATACCGCTGCTGGAAGGGTTTTGGTGAGCTGTGCCATTGATTCATGATGCAACACTGCAATCTGTTGATTAATATTGTGCAAGCTGGCAGTCGGCACGAAAAACTGGCCATGTGTAGCGACCAATCATGTAGGGCCATTGCCAACCACTTCCAAACATGCCCAAGGAGGGGAAGTGTACTGACCAATCATGACTAGTGTAGGCCAGAGACCACTACTGGATTGTCTTGAACAGTGGGTTAGCATCACGAGGGCAGCTCTAAATTGGTTTTACTCCTAGCTCCTTTTTCAGTATCTGTAGGCCAGTCCTCTTCATCCTTTTCCAAATGTCTTTTGGTGTTCCCCAGGGATTCATTCCGGGTCCCGTCCTTTTCTTGGCTTTACATGCTACCCCCTAGGCAACACCAACAGTAAATTCAATATTTCATTCCAATCTTTGTAAATGACCGACAATGGTACATAACACTTAAATCCTGTAATTCCATGCAGTCTCTTTTAGACAGTTGGGAGAAATTAAAATCTGGAAAGCAAATAATGGTGACAAAACTGAAAACATTGTCAAGGGCTTTTCGAAATCCAAAAATTTGGTCTTTATTACAAATTGCACTGCCCACAGCCTGGCTCAAACCACACCTTGTACGCTGTGTTTGAAATGTCCTACCCTGGTATGTCTGCAGCAATTAAGTGTTTGTCTGTTGATACCATGTTTAATTTGCAAGTCTATCTGCTTCACCAATTCACTTTTGTCTTAACTGCTTTTATTTTTCTTTGCTAATGCATAATGTAGAGTACTTTGGTTCAGTGCGAGTTGTGTTTAAAAATGATCTAAAAATAAACTACTTTGTGACAGAGGAGAGGATGTTTATGGACCAATCACAATGGGCCATAGTGCAGCGCTTTTCACCATGCGAGAGGGGAGGAAGTGGATAGACCAATCGTGTCGGGCCATAGCCCACTGCTTTTGAGTTTGAATTTCACAGCTGTCGGGCTAATCAGGGAATATGGATGTTTCTCAGAGTTGAAACCACTAAGGGACTGTTGGTCCTGTTCTTCCATGCTTGAGGTACAACATTGTGTTTTGATTAGAAGGAGTGAAGCTCTGTCAGGTTTGGCTATCCTACAGACTGGGGGGAGAAAAAAAAAAAAATAAGTGTGTCGCATTCGACGTTCGCCTCGTTCCTGTCGCGCCTGGCTGTCGATCCTTGATGTCGGCCTCCCGGTGGTCCTCCTACCATCCCGCCGCCATCCGGGAGAACATCAACCGCTTTCTTACATGTCAGCCAGCCAGGACGCCGTTTGGAGTTTTTTTTCCCTTTTTTTTTTTTTTCTCCGGAAAGTAGGCCATGAGTGCAGCAAGTTATAGCACAAACGCAGAGGAGGCAAAACAGCGGGTAAACAAGAGATTTTCTGTCATGTTTGCCATGTTGCATTTGATCGACGCAGAGACGGACGTCATTCTTCGCAGAGACAGATGACACGCAACGCTCGGCTCGTCATTCCCCTCGTTTTCCTCCAGGAATTATTCAAATGCATCAATGTAAACTCCATTATTTAAACCTATCTGCTATTAATGTCCAATTCAAGCCGTTTTGATGCTCAAAAGTGACACGCGCCAGCTCGTTGTCCTGGCAGATTGCCTCTTTTCCCCAGCTTGTCTATCTAAAATGACACTTAAACGCACACACGTGCATTATGGGAATTAAGAAGTTCCCAAACACTGATGGAGAGTGAAAAAAGAGATGACGAAAAGTGAACCACTTCCTTGAGATCTGAATTTCGATGATCAACTGTTAAATAATACCATACTTTGTATAGCCATATCCAGTAGAGGAAGAAATAGGCACACTGCTTTTAATGTGTACCAAATAAGTGGCAATAATGACGGGCCTAAAGCCACCATTTCTGCATCAAATGCACTTTTTCAAAAATGTTTCAGATTTTTAATGGCACCAATTGTTTCCTTACACCTAACCAGGCTGAAATCTTGTGGTACAGATTGGAAATTGAACCTTCAAGCATAACTGACAGTTTTGGCTGTGGAAGAAGAAATAATCATGGCCCACCTCTTTCAAAGAAGTCAGACTTGTGGAAATGTACCAACCGATCATGCTGAGCCTTTCCCCGGGTGATGTGGGCACTTAAGGATGACAACAAGGCACTCTGACCGAAGTGAATATTCAGTTTTGGGATGTAGATACAGCTCGATAACTGCGTCACATTTACGCCAGATAACCTTTGATGGGAATGAAGACACTAGATTATTAGATAGCTGAGAAGGGGTACTCATACCGGGGCCCAAATGCCCTTATTGGGCAGTAATTTAGCCACCCCCTCCCCCACTCCCCAAAATAAAAAATCTGAAAAACTGAAATAGTGAAAAACCGTCCACAAGTCCTTTCATGTTTTCAGCAATCATCTTCATGTACATTATATTGAGGAATGAATCTCTGAATTCACTTTACGGGATCTTAAAAGCTGGAAATATACTTGTGTCGACTTCTGCAACTGGACATTCGGAATGAACTAGTTACAGACCGTCAGCTTGGCGCAACCTCTGGGGAAAGGGCTGATGAAAAGTCTTGTTTTTGTACAATCCAACCACTTCTACTTTGCTCCAAGCGGAACAACTATCTTGCTCTGTTCGTGTGTGTGTGTGTGTGTGTGTGTGTGTGTGTGTGTGTGTGTGTGTGTGTGTGTGTGTGTGTGTGTGTGTGTGTGTGTGTGTGAGAAAGTTGATGCCTCGAGGGTTCGCTCCGGAGTTAATTGCCTGCTCAATGCACCTCCCACAGCGTCAGTGATTTTCAACGAGCTTCTCCAAACCTCATCATGGTGACTTTGTGGTATGACAAGTAGATTACTTAATCAGTCTCTTAATCCTGCCCACCCGCGGGCTCTGATTGGGCAAGGGTGGCTAAATCCGTCAAACTTCCGGAACCAACACATTGT